AGATCTCGAGTTGAACCATTCGACCCTTCCAACAATCGGCCTAATAACCTCCTACCTTTTTTGAGGGGGAAACTCCTAGAGGCCCTAATTAATGCCGAATCTCTTATCGCAGGGCCTTTTTTCAGACAAGCAATATGGCTTTCGTTTCTCCAGGCCAACTGCAAATGTACTGACGATAACTACGCATAGATTCTATCATGCTATAAATAAAAACGGTGAAGCTTGGGTTGTAACTTTGTACATTTCGAAAGCTTTTAACAGGGTTTGACATGTAGGTCTTCTCCACAAGCTGAAAAGTTACGGTGTCTCCGGACACATTTTGAACTGATCCAGGCTTTCCTATCAAATCGTGAAATTAAATTTGCCCTGAACGGCCACTCGTCTAGATCCTTTCGTAGTAACGCGGGTGGCCCCAAGGGCTCCATCCTTGGTCCTACTTTGTTTTTAATTTTCATTAATGGTCTTCCCGATGACATCAGCTCCCAACTTGGTATCTATGTTGATGACACAACCATTTACTCCTGTCATGACAGTAAGGCTGATTGGTTCGGTCAAAATGTCAACCGGTGTCCAAAACGTTCTCAAGCCCGTTGTTAATTGAGACAAAAGATGGATTGTTAATTTTAAAACCTCTAAAACTAAACTTCCCTCCAATAATCATCTGAGAGACCCTCTCTGCCTTTCATCATTATGGCTGATGCTAACCTCCAGGAAAGTGACGTTGCGCCTTCTCGGGCTAACCTTCTCAGCTGACATAAAGTTTAAAGACTATATTGAATCCATTGCTAGGTCAGCCGCTTAGAAGGTTGGTTCACTGTGTAATGCGAGACAATTTTTCTGTCCAGAATCTATCTATAAGTCTACCATTCGTCCCTGCTTAGAATATTTCTGCCACATATGGTCCGTTGCTGTATACCTTGAGCACCTTGAGAAAATCCAAAGAAGAATCCAAAATATTATTAGTTCTGATCTGGCAGTTCGACTTCATTCACTTCCCCACCGTCGTAAGGTTGCCTCTTTGTGTCTTTTCTATAAATACATTTATGGTAATTGTTCGGATGGGCTTTCCGCAACTTTTAGGATTCAAGCGCAGTACTAGACTGGCGCCGAGATGTCATCAGTTGACATTTAAATTCTATGCTAACAATTTCTTTTCTCACACTTCTCGACCGTGGAAATCCCTTCCGGCTCCATGTTTTCCAGCCAACTTTAATCGCTATCTACTGTCCTGATTACTCTTTCTTCCCCCCCCCGCTCATTATTAATGTTTCTGTTCCTAATTCTTCTACACCCAATTAGCCCTTGTGTCTTAGTGGCTTTACTGCCTTGCTTGGGGTGAAATCGATATATATGTATATATATATATATATATATATATATATATATATTACATGAATCATTCATACAAAAAACAGATTAGTGAGGTTAATGATATAAATGGCGAGAATACATCTTCGCAAACAAATTTATTAAAATTACATTAACCCACGAACCTCTAGGTGAATGTTGTGATCCCTGTTTTTAATAAATTCAACTTGTATAAGGTCTTTTTTTGCTAGTACTTTCATCTGTTCATACAGACATCATCAGGCATGGAAAGTGAGTTGTATTTTTAGATACATATATATATATATGTGATATAACGATATATAATTTTGTATAATTTTATATATCAACAAACAGTATTTAGAAAAATATGACAAACTGGAAAGATATTTTTGTGATGCATTTCATCTGCCGACTAGGCTTTGATGACGTAAACGTGTAGACGTGGTAATTTCCTCCAAGCCCCGTCCGATGAGATGAAACACGTCACAAAAAAAAACCCAAAAACCCCAAAAAACTTTCCAGTTTGTCATATATATATATATATATATATATATATATATATATATATTCATTTTTCTCAACTTTTCCATTGGTGCCAATATTAAATAGATAATCTACGAATTTCAGTTCTCCTTTTATGTGGCACTCCACATCTTCCTGTCACTTCCCCCAAACCCTGTTCCACCATCCATTTACTCGAGCTCATCAAGTATGCTTCGCGCTACTTTCCTCTGTCCCTCTTTCCCTTAATCTGTCCTGTGAGTATCAGATTTTCCAAGCCCTCCTTCCTCATTACCTGCCCAAGAAATTTCAACTGCCTCTTCCAGATGTTTCCTTTTTGTTTCCATTTTCTCAAAAACCTCGTCGTTGTTCACGTGTTCGGCCCATGATAGTCTCAGCATCCTTCTGTAGAGCTACATTTCTGTTGCTTCAAGTCTCTTCTTCATTTTTGAGGAGATTGTCCAGCATTCGCTCTTATACACGAGAATAGATATCACGTAACAATTCAGTACTCTTTTGCTTGTCTCTAACGAAATTTTTCTGTCTCTTGCCAAATCAGCAGAGACATTATTATGACATTGAAGAGAAGGCGAAACTTGTTAAAACGGACAGCGTGACAATGTCGATTCAGCATTCAAAAGGCGTTTGGAACTTTAACATTACTTTGATGTTAACATAAAAATATACTTGGCCAATCATTTTACTTCCGGTGCCATCAAACATCATAAGGGCAGAGTATAAAAATACCTGGCGGTGGCGGAGAGAGAGAGAGAGAGAGAGAGAGAGAGAGAGAGAGAGAGAGAGAGAGAGAGATGCGCGTTAGTAAAGGGTGATATTAAAAAATATTGGTTTTATTGAATTTTTCTTTCAGATATTCATTCACAATGACACTTACGTGACAATTATACAAATAAATGAAAATATTTGCAAAAGAAAAAAGGAACTAAAATGTGGCTGGTAACACAAAGAGTGTATTTTACTTTTAACAATTGCAGGTCCAATATTTTACACCACAAAGTGGCTTTACACACAGACACCTACACATTACATATTAAATATATATATATATATATATATATATATATATATATATATATATATATATATATATATATATATATTGTCAGTTAATTAATAGATGTTCAAGTAACTTATTTCTTTCGACTCCAGAGTTTGGAGTGAAACCGCTCATAAAGGGATAGAAGGTCTGATAAGATGTCAGTAGGTCCGTTGAAAATCTGACTACTCCTAGTGTTTTAACTCTATTCAGGTGGTCGAAAAATTTCATTATTGTTTTTGTTTTTAGATATTTTCTTGTATTATTTTGAGTAGGATCTATTTGATTGGAAACAAAATACACCACTCAGCGCATTCAGCATTCATAACACCTGTGTCATGTGATGATGAATAATCAATATATATATATATATATATATATATATATATATATATATATATATATATATATATATATATATATTATTATTTTATTATTGACTACGACGTCAGAGATGTCAATAGAAGTTAAGCCTTCCGTTAATAAACCATAATTTGTTTCTTTTGTTACTTATCCCAACTAACTGGAAAAATGTCGTCTGACATGAAAGTGTGTATGAAGCAGAGGACATGTAGAGGATGTGATCACAGCTAAGTGGGCAATGCATTTTAATGAAAAGTGGGTTTCCTCTGATGATGGTGTGGATTTTATCGAGTCCTTCATATTGGCGCCTGTTGGTCATAGCCGGCAAAAATACGGAGCCAATGGAGATGGTTGTTTAAAATGAGTGTTTTGTAGCTGAAAATTTGCATCATCCCGTAGCGTTGGTATTCTTCCTGTATATGCAATAGCTCTCGTTAAAATAAATAGGAGAAATTACTTTCGCAACGTCCATCAAGTATATATATATATATATATATATATATATATATATATATATATATATATATATATTAGATTGATAAAAGCAGATATATTAAAAAGCAATTTTATAGCAAAAATTTCTGGTACTGATACATTGGCGCATCTATGTAAATTGTCCATTTTTCCTTGCGAATATTGACTGGAACGTATTGGGTGATTCATCCTTCTAACCCTGAACCCGTGTTCTGCCGACATAGCCAACACTGACATCTAAATTAGTAAATTATAGAACTAATATGATGGCGTAAGCAGAAGATCCTTCCGGAATATTTGATTAAAAGCCAGCACTGTTCCCGAGCTTATACCTCGGGCATGTTCTCAGGACTGAGTTGGGTTAATTCTGATTATAACTTGAAACTGTTAGAATCAGTGTCCGATCAGTTATACTCTCAGGATGACAAAGAAATCGTTGGTGGGATTTGTCTGTGGTTGCAGATTTTTTGTCCTCGATTTTTGCTCTCTGCTGAGAGAGGACCAGTAAACCGGCTTAGCTGTTTTTAATCGTTGTTATATTTTGAGATTACAAGTAATATGTATGTTTAGTTATTACCATTTTACGGATATATATATATATATATATATATATATATATATATATATATATATATATATATATTTATATGTGTGTGTGTGTGTATGTCTATGTATTGTTATTAGCATTTTACATTGTTACTTACTCTTTTTGATATGGAATGTTTATTTTTTGTTATGAATTATTTTTTTTGTTATTTTAAATATATCTGCGTTTATCTCTAATATATATATATATATATATATATATATATATATATATATATATATATATATATATATATATGGGCAAGTAATGTAGGTAGCTAGATAGATACATCAATAAGTTCGTTGCTTTATGATGAAAAAAAAGCAAATATTTATTTTAACATAATTCTCTCCCTTGTTAGAGAACCTGACGCGGAAAACTTCAGATAAAAATTCACCATGTAACGACAAGGTAAGGCTACAAACATTTAATGCACCCAATATATATATATATATATATATATATATATATATATATATATATTTATATGTATGTATGTATGTATATATATATATATATATATATATATATATGTGTGTGTGTGTGTGTGTGTGTGTGTGTTTGTGTGTGTGTATGTATTTATTTGATGAAAGTTTTTAACACATGCAAAAATTGTTTTAAATTTAACGTGTGTCCTAAAATAAAAAAAACAAAACAAAAAAAAATCGTGATTTAAGAAATGTTTATAGTTCATATTTTAGAGGTGAGAGGAGATGTTCGCAGTCCGTGTTTGGCTGGTATCTGCGGCTGTATTTCTGACATAATTGCTCCAGTCACCTTGTTATTGTCCGCTACTGAGCGCATCATGTCACTGTTAGCTGTAAAGAGAAAACCCGGCAAGTTTGTGCTGTTAGACAGCGCCGAAGTCAACAATGGCTTAGGGTTGTGTGTGCTTTGTACGGGGAACGCCGATGAGCCAGCCACATGGGAATTACGACTGAACAAAACACCGTTACTATTTGTAGGCGTGTTAGTTGTCATTCGACCAGAACAAGATGTCGCCGGTGTTACAACGGCGGTTGGAGAGGACATATTCAAGTACGACGCTCCATGCGAAGCCTGTGGTACATAGGGGTTGTATCGGTGTAAACTTCGAATCGAAGCACCTGTACAGGGAAGACTCGCTCCCGTTCCGTATTGCATTCTGGTAACCTGTGAGGCGACTCGATTGATTGTGTCTCGATACACAGTACCGGTGTTGATAGAAGCATCTGGTCGGAATCTTGTTTGAAGGTAGGACACTATTCGGACGCACCGGCTGTCATTAGTGTCTATACCTTCCACGTCGGTCATATAGCGAATTACTTCTTGCATACATTCATTGTAGCCCATCTGATAATGGTGCATGAAATCAGCCCACACGTCGGCACTGAACCAGTCACCTGAAAAGACAAAAGGCCAACAATAAATAACTTAATTCGTCACAGAAATAAGAAATGGCTTGCAATGATTATCATGATAATTTGGAAATAATATTTAAACTTACGGTGTGATTTAGAGAGTAAAAACAGAATATTTAATCAATGGCTAAAGCAAACAGCAGAATTAGTAGACTTGATTAACTAATTTATGGGTTATCCCCACAGAGCTTAGATATCGTTATATATATATATATATATATATATATATATATATATATATATATATATATATATATATATATATATATATATATGTGACGTGTCTTAACACTCGGCCACTGAGCAGCCTTAGCGATCAAGGACTCACTCTCTCTCTCTCTCTCTATATATATATATATATATATATATATATATATATATATTGGGTTGGCATAATGATCAGGCATTTTTTAAACAATATTTATTATGAAAAAGAAACATAATTCAACGATAACATTTTTAAATGATTTTTCCGGAGCGTTGTCACCATCTACTTCATTTTTATAACCTGAAAATAAAATATTTTTATTAAAAAAAGTAAACAAAACAGCATTTTTTAAACAAATAACTCGCCTACAAAAATGCCTGATAATTATGCACCAACCCAATATATATATATATATATATATAATTATTACAAATATAACATTCTTCACTGAGCTGATTGATGTTATATTCTGCACATCAACTTTGGAGTTTCGTAAACGGACATTTTTTTGTAATTGTTCAGTTCACTCGTCAAGAGGTTTCAGTTGAAATAATTTGGTGCCCTTTCTGCGTAATTTCATACTCGTAAGAATGTTGTTCTCTCTCCCCATTGAGAAGGTCTCCGTCTAAGTCGGAGATTGAACGCGCAACTGCCAGATAAGTTGAGGAGACTTAGGCACTGACGTGATAAAAGACAACAGTAGCAAATAGAATGGTTGGAAATAATCAATGTATGATACTTAGACAAAAGTGAGGTTTGCCAAAAAACGAGACGAATGTCAGCAAGCAGAGAGTAGCATCGATTTTGTTTGACACAAACCAATTTAAATCTAGTCTGGCTTTCAGCAAGAGAAAAGTTCAAGATGCGAACTACGAATTGTAAAAAGCCAATGTCAAACAAGTACAGAAGTTTAAATAACTGAGGATCGAAAATGCGACACCGAAATCCGAAGTACGTATTGGGATAACGAAAGATGCCTTCCAAAACATAAGACAGGAAAGTTTCATTAAAAACAAAGAAAAGTGTGCTAGATTTTTACATAATACCAATCCTTCAATATGATTGTATGCTCTGGACAATCTCTTCACAGAAAGAGTAGAAAACTGGAGGTAACAGAAATAGTGTTCTACAGAAGGATGCTGAGAATACCGTGAATGGAGCGCATAAGCAACGAAGAAAGTGGAAACAAAAACGACACTTATACGTAGAATCAGAAAGAGAGTTGAGATTTATTCTACAGATAATGGGGATGGAAGACTTGGAGAATTTGGTACTCACAGGTCATATCAAAGGAAAAGGGAACAGGAGAAGGCAGCGGGCAACGTACTTGACTGGCTTTGGGTGAATGGATGGCAGAACAGGGGTGGAAGGGATGTCAAATAGATACACGTTGGTAAGAGCTATAGGAGTTTGTGGGGGACCATGATCGACCACGTCCCGAACATAGAAGAAGAAGAATCTTTTTTTTAGAGTATTAGAGTAATCCATGACCTTTGTTGGGGATAAACTGTCTACAGGTGTGGATAGAATTAAGTGAAGGAGGTGGGTATAATAACGATGCGTTTTTATCACAGGATTTATTTAACCATATGAAGACCTGAGACGTAAAGACTCTATACTAATGTAACCAGCTTACAAACATCCATCAAGAGATGGGTAGATTATATATCTACATTTCTAAGCGTATGTAAAATTAAGTGGGTAAATAATGGGGACTTCATAAGTGACATACAGAGAAAAAAAACGTACAGGTGGGGAGAAAAATGAAGGAGGTGTAGGGTTAGGGTTAGATAATTGTTCTGGGATACTGCCAAATTTCAGATAAAAAGAGAAGCACATTAACATAGCAATTTTCGTTGTATTTGCTCAGTGTGTCGGGATATTTTCATTTGCTCGTAGGTTTGCCGTTGCTTATAAAGGTTGACAGACAATGCTCTAATTTATAGCTGATGTGAAGAAATAATTTCCTCATTTTGACCAACTGAAGACAACAATTGATCAAGTGTTCATCCGGAATTAGTTAAGATCAAAGTTGTAACATTTAATCCGGTTTCTAAAAATCGTATGTATGTTTTGTAGGAGGGAAAATTTGTTAGCATTTGTTTAAAATCTTATTCATCAGATTTTAAACCCGCAGAGTAACGTATTCGAGATTTGAAAAGGATTTACTTAAAGAGAAAAAAGATTTGAAAAACTGCAAGAAGGACTGTAATTATGAAGTGGCCCGGAAGATGGCAAAAAATTATTTTGAATTCAATTTTTGAATCTTTATTTTTTATGCCAACGGAATACTTTCAATGAGTTTGAAAGTATTTAATTCATGTTTGACATTTTTCTATCGCTTCCCTCGTCACTCTAACTTGATGCATTGAAGGTACCTCGGGATGGTATAATGGTTAAAGGTCTAGTTTAGCTTACTGTCTAGTGAATATGATCTTCATTAGGTGTCCAATACTTATATCCTGATACCAATCTAAGTTTAGTAAATACCAACTTGCTGCGTCGATGTTAATATAAATGTTTAAAATGTATATCCTTATCAGAACAACCTAACCCACTTTATTTGAGATAATTCTCATTAATACATTTACTTCTGCATTTGGATTATCTCAAGCAATTTTGAGACGTCTTCTAAAATCTTTATATCGTAAATATTTTGATGCTGAAGCATTCAAGAAGTTGATCTTGAATCTTCGTACTTCTGATTGTATTACGACATCACGAACTGCTGTCACACTAAGACGGCCCTCGGGCAACTAATTACAACGAAGAGGGTTGAAGAATAAAAAATATAAAAAAACTCCAAAGAAATTTAATTGAAAAAAAAAACAGCAGAAAAATAGTGCATTATTTTGAAGGGAATTTAAAATGAGTTGAAATGGCGAAAAGTTGATGTTTTGAGGAGAGCAGCACATCCAATTGAATATTCATGTACGACCTTTTGGGTAAACGATATCATCCTTTTCATCTTTCGATTTTTGACTTTGCTCCCTCTCTCTAAGTTTTTCTCTGTCCCCACTTCACTCTATTATTCTTTCTCTCTCTTTTATTTCGCTCTCTCTTTTTCTCTCTTTTGCTCTTTTAATTTGCTCTCTCTCTCTCTCTCTCTCTCACTTTCTTTTTTTCCCACTTACTTTAGCTCTTGTACTGTTTCTTAGTTTTCCTCTCTTGTTCACTATATTCATATATTTTGTCCTCGTACTTTGGCGTGGAAGTTAATCGGATATAAGAATGGAGACTAAAAAGCCGATAACTTGTAGCCCATCATTAATTTCAACTTTGTTCGATGAGCATATTCCTTGAAGCAAATGAATAGAAGGAGGGAAGGGAGGGAGGAAGGGAGGAAGGGTAGGAAGGAAGGAAGGAAGCAAGGGAGGAAGGGAAGAGAGAGAGACAGAGAGAGAGAGAGTGAAAGGAAGGAAGGGAAAAAGGAAGGAAGCAAAAGAAGAAGAGAAAGGAGGGAGAGAGGAATGTTAGGGAGGGAGGAATGGTAGGAAGGAAGGGAGGAGGAATTGTAGAAAAGGAGGGAAAGGAAGGAAGGGAGGGAAGGAAAAAATAATGAAGGATGGGAGGGAGGAAGGAAGTGAGGAAGGGGAGAGCGAGAGGGTGAGAGGAAGGAAAGGAGGAAGGAAGGGAAAAAGGAAGGAAACAAGAGAGAAAGAGAAGGGAGGGAGAGGGGAATGGTAGCGAGGAAGGAATGGTAGGAAGGAAGGGAGGAAGAGAAGGAAGGAGGAGGAAGGGTAGGAAGGAAGGAAAGAAAGAAGGAAGGAAGGGAAGGAAGGAAGGAAGGAAAGAAGGAAGGGAGGGAGGGAGGGAGGGAGGAAGGAAGGCAGTAAGGAAGGAAGGAAGGAAGGAAGGAAGGAAGGAAGGAAGGAAGGAAGGAAAGCGATACGTATAGAACGATGTCGGGTAAAAGACGAAAAGAAGAGCACTGGAAGAGAAGGAAAAAGAAGCAAACGAAATTGGAAAAATTACTGGAAGAAAGATGAATAATAAATAATTACAAAAAAGAACCCGAAGGTGAGGAAGACGAAAAACTAAGAGAAGAAAAAAAGCGGAAGTAGAAAACATAAAAACGGAAGTGAAAAGAGAAGAAGTAATTAGGAAAGGGGGTGGAGAGAGACGAGAAGAAAACAAAGATGTGAACAAAAAGAGGACTACAGGTGGTTAGGATGGTGATGGTGAGGAGAAGGAGGATAGTGAGGGTGAGGAGGAGAGTGAGGAGGAAGAGGAGGAAGAAGAGGAGGAAGAAGAGGAGAAAAATTTAACAAATGGAAATAGGAGGATAAGAAGCAAAAGAGAAATGTTAGGAAAAGGGTTAAAAGTTGGTAGTAAGAATTGTAGGTAAGTATGGGTTAGTCTGGCACAGGCACACACACAAATAGGTCACCCAGTGTGAATCAAACACACAATAAATAGTAGGGTTAACTTTCTAACTATCACTCCATGGCTGGTACCCGCTGTAGTAAAACATTTAATAGAAAAACACATGTGATGAAAAGTAGATGAAAGAAAAGAAGTCTTTGAATAGAACAAGTATATAAAAACCAGATGAAATGAAAAAAAATGTCCCAAAATGTGATGAATGAGAGAATAAAGAAAAATGCCTACAGAGGGATGTTCAAATTTTTTTTTTTTTGTTTAAAATAGAAAAATGTTAAAGAAGAGAAAAAAATACAAATAAGGGCTGAGGAAATAAAAAAAAATAGGAAAAAATACTGAACCAGGAGAAGAAATAAGAAACAAATTAAAAGAAAAAAAAGTATGAATAAATCGGATGCAGAGTGATTTAGAAGAGAAAAAAAAAGAGACGAAGAAAAATTTTTGCCGTTCAACTTGTCAAATAACAAACAAGCAACGCGACAAACAGACAGACAATGACTCAAGAAGCCCTTCATCTACCGCACGCTCTTGAGCTATTCATAAAATTAAGGTAGAAAATTAATTCCAACGCAAATCACTATTGTCTGCCTATCAAAATGATCGGCTTTTCAAACAAATGCAGAGTTATTTTGAATACAAAGAAAGAAAGAAAGAAAGAAAGAGAATAATAAAAAAAAATGGCATTTTTCCCCTCATCTCTTGACGTCTCTTCGCTATCAATTTTTAGTGGTCACGTGATGACGTACTATTGGCTGTCGCCGAGAATGCAGCTTGTTCACCAAGTGATGTCTTCAAGCGGTCCGGTGGGGTACAAAAACTGCTGTCGTTCGTTTTACTGCAGGGACAGGTTGTGACCCCGGGGCAAGTGTTGAGTCGGTCTAAAAGAAAAGAGGCAGCCGTTTATGGCTTGTGAAGCTCTGAAGATGAACCACTCAAGTGAAAAAGTGGAGATTTTCCCAAAAGTGTCGTTCCAGGCAGAAACCGATCGACAGTAGATAATAAAAGGAAGTGAAGGATATCATTTTCTACCGTCATTTGGAAGTGAAAAGCTGCTTACATATCAATCTACATACAGAATAATGTTTGGGAGAGAGAGAGAGAGAGAGAGAGAGAGAGAGAGAGAGAGAGAGACAGACAGACAGACAGACAGAGAGAGAGAGAGAGAGAGAGAGACAGACAGAGAGACAGAGAGAGAAGAGAGAGACAGCGAACAACAACTCTGCGCATGCGCGCACTGGTTAAACGAGTTTAGAGTTAAAGGACAATGGAGAGGGAATTGCAAAAGGGAAAATTAAATGCAGCAAAGATTCACAGGTAACATCAAAATTGACTGATAAATAAAATAGTGATACAATGGAGAAAGTTTCTGAGGAAACAACAACAAGAAACAATCCACATATTCTGTTGATAAAAGTAACAATTCACCACCCGACAATGGCAGAAGATGATTTATATTCATTTTTGGTGTAGGAGAGACGATCTGTCTTCTTAATGCAGAACACAACCCAAGGTTATGTTATAATGGTTATCCAGACATTTTCTAGTTTCCTTCAACTCTTACTTCAGACATTAGGGTGTATACCTGACATTATCTTTGATAGTGCAATAGTTGTATGTAGGATGCAACCTCGGTTGCCAGGCTGTGATTAATTTTTCGTTTCAAGCAGTTTATTTGACTGCAAGAATATTTGCATTATGGTTGATTCGCTTTCGACGGATTATCAACCCTTTGCAGGTTATTTAAAGCCAAAAAATATTTTTAGATTGTAAGTATGTTTTTTGGGATAATGATTTACTAATACAAATCATACTAATTAACCCATAGCTGGAGGTAGAGAGGTGGATTTATATCTTTCCCAAGAGTATAACGAACCCAGCGGAAATTGGAACTCGGCTCTCCGATTAACAATTCCAAGCCATTATCCATTAAACCAACCTCACATCTATGCTCTCTGCACCTAGTATTCCCCAATGATCCCCCCTTTAGATATTGACCTGACTCGACGTTGCTTAACTTCGGTAATGGGAACGGGGATTTCAACGCTATATGGACGTAAGCCTAATATATTAGTCATTGAGCTTACAGGAAAAATAACGATCTCAACAGTATTTTGATGGCTTCGTTGGGATTATTCGAATAATTTAACTTCACAGAGTCTTCTCACCAAATTACACCAGACAAATTATATGATGTTAAAATTTGATCTTGTACATTTCGTAGCTAATCAGGCGTTTGCCCTAATTTTTTTAATATTACTGGTTAATTTAAAATATATTGTTTTAACTAGTTACCTGTTTGCACATATCAGAGTTGACAATTTAGCGTTTTTAGAACTGGATTTAGTGGTTTTTCAAATATAATTCAGCTTCTTTAATTCAATTTCTTTAACGTCAGACACAGAAAGGAAAGTACAAGAACCCCTACAAGAAAGTACAAGAATCCCTGCAAGAAAGTACAAGAATCCCTGCAAGAAAGTACAAGAATCCCTAGAGAAGGTAGTGAAAGAAAACGAGAAGGAAACACTAAACATCAATTCCAAGAAAACAGAATGAATAGTCGTCAGCAAAAGGAACAATATGAGATGAGAATTACCAATTGTGGTTACCAAAATCAAGCAAATACATTAAATATCCGGGAGGTGTTTTAACAGAGGGTCGAATCTGCGATACCGAAATGCAAAGGCGCATTGGAATAGCGAAAGATGTCTTCTAAAAACTAAGCAAAGTATTAAGAAACAGGAAAATAACGTTAGAAACAAAGAAAAGAGTACTGAACTGTTACATAATATCATTCCTCCTATATGGCAGGAAATGCTGGACAATCTCCTCTCAGATGAAGAAGAGACTTGAAGCAACAGAAACCAAGAAAAGAGTACTGAACTGTTATGTAATATCAGTCCTCCTATACGACAGGAAATGCTGGACAATCTCCTCACAGATAATGAAGAGACTTGACGTGATGTAAATATGGTTATACAGAACGATGCTGAGAATACCATAGACCGAACATGTGGGCAACGATGAAGTTTTAGAGAAAATGCTTTTACTTAGCATCAAAAAGGGACAGCTGAAATTTCTAAGGCACATAATGAGAAAAGAAGGCTTGGAAAATTTGACACTCACAGGACAGAATGAAGGAAATACGAAAACAGCGCATAACCTGCCTAACGAGCTTGTGCAAATGGATGGCAGAACAGGGATTAGGAGAGATAGCAAAAAGGCAAAATTTATTAAGAGCTACAAAAGAGAGGAATTTTTGGAGAGCCATGATCGCTAACTCCCTGGAAGGGCACGACACCTATAAAAATAAGAAGAATTCAGCATCTAACTCTTTTCAGTCAGTTATCTGCCATGCGTGATACACGCTTAGGCGATCATGTATCTTTCCATACATGACTGACGAAGCAGTTTTTTCCCGCATTAGGTTGCCATTTCTTTTTGCGGTAGATCAGTTGCTATCCAAGTCTGTTTTGCTATTTACCCATATCTGGTGGGAGAAGAAGAGGATTCATACCTTTCCCAAGGGTATTATCACGTAAGTGAATGGATTCGACTGGAATTTGAACTCGGCTCTGCCGATTTCTCAATCTGAGCCGCTATCCATAATTCCACCGTTACTCTTTTACAGGAGTTAAATGCACCGCGGAAGAGATGAATTTATCTCCAAAAGAGGGTTGCAAGAGCTGCACTCATCCTGACCAAGATTTTGATGTTCGGAAGTTAAGTCTTCTTCAACACATTTAGCGCCCGTAAATCAAACTGAAGCTCTTTTTCTTAATATCTATTTTTTTTCTTATTAATTATCTATTATTTCTTAAATAAGAACAAAGAACGAAATATCGATTTATAGAAACTGGAATTGAATAGAGGAAACGAGAAAGTATTATTTGGTAGGCGGACATGTCTTTCATTGTTGATAGGGTAGAAAGTAAAAAATTTCCTTCACCATCGCATCGCTTCTTCCAGTTTAGTGTTTTCCCAGTAAACCGTGTAAATAATATGAATTTTTTTTTTTTTGAATATGATTTAAATTCGTTAAAATCCGCCGTTGTACGAACAGATGTAGTGTCTATAGTTTGGATCATTAATCAGAATGCAAGTGTGATAGATGACAACAGCATGTGTTAGAAATCAACGTATGATAACATCGATCATTTTTGAGGGGGGGGGGCTTCTAATAAGATTATCCGAGAAAGTTTTTGAGATGCACTTGATCCACTGTGTTGTGCTTAAGCAAACACTGCTCGACAATAGAAATAGCTGCAGTGTTATCAATCTTAAGTCTGGTAACAATACCAGCACTGTGATTATAGCGTCGATCGTAACTAATAACAACTAATAATGACAATGCGGGTTTCAAATCTCAGTTTTTGGCAAATCTTTCTCAGTTTACAAAAAAATCACGTCAAAATAGTAAATTTAATCACAGCTTGAATCTTTTGGCTTTTTATTGGATTGTCTTTGGATAAAAAAAAATCAATAATTAGATAGGGGTGGACAAAGAGTATGTAATTTGAGAATCAGGGCTACAAGACGAAACAAGAAAAGTCACCTGGATCAGACATGAGGGGTCAGTTGACAGTATAAAGCAAAAAGATATGAGACGCCTTTCCATAAAGAGGCAAACATGCTTCGTGGTTTATAAAGAAAAGAATGGAAAAAAGCAACTTCACTTTAACAATCACAACAGCAGTTATAACAGAAATATAAATACAATGTGTCCTGGTTGCCTCGGTTTAAAATAATAGTTGGCGAGACTACTTTGTTTGGTCAGGCTACCTTGGTTGGTTATTAGTAATGAGTTCGATTTCCCACAATCGAAATTAAATACTTTTTATTTTTATTTTATTATAAATATCGACTAATTTTAGCTGAACTTCGTCAGGCTAAGCGAATTCTTAAGTTTGAACCTGATTTTATGGTTAAAATACATCACTTATTTAGAAATTTCAGTTAGTTTCCGTGAGTTGTATTAAAAAATCTACGCCTTCTTTCATACTTAAAATTTTTTAACTACTCTGATCTTTGTTTTGCTGATAATCTTCATGCTGAAAAAATAAGTGTAACTTAACAGGGGGTGACATGTTGTAAAGACAATATCATCGTAAAAATATAGTAAACGAAATTAAAATATTATTGATAAATTCCATATAAAAAAAGCATCATCTGTAAGCAATTCTTGAATTAATTTCTGAGAATTTAAAAAAAATTATTTTCAGTACAGTTGTATAGGAATTTACTATGTATTCCTATAGTAAAATTATTAGCAAGGCTTTTTTTTAGTAAAATAATTAGCAATATATTTACATTGTTTATATAATAGCCGAATTGTCAATAATGTTTGCTTTAATTCCTGACTACTAGGATTACCTTTTTATAATTTTCAAACTATTTAAAGGAAGACCATTTATAGTTGATTTTTATGTCAATATTATTGGCAATATTTGTTCTCGTAAAATAGGTGATTAAATTGTGCACATGTCCTGTTAGCAATACTTACCTTAATACTTGATGAGAGACAATGTTTTTATTTTAATTCTAAGAAAATTAAAATACGCTGTCCGAAATTTGCGGGAACAAAAGCTAGGCAAACAATTTTCAAATTCAGTGCTTAATGATGATTAATCGAATATTTTCTACATCGTCTGAAATATTTAGTTTGTTCAAGCAGAAAAAAGAAAAAGAGGACGTGATGGAGTAGAGGTAAAGTCAGTGGGTAGTAATAAGAAAAAGCTGAAACTACGTCTGCGGCTAGCATTTCTTATCTGCCACCAGACTTTGCTCTCATTATATCCGCAATAAGTTCAGTGAATGAAAGTTTTGATTTGTTTAATAAATCCTGCCTATTATATCACGTGTTAAATTGACAACAACAAGAAAAATGAGTTGGCTTGAACCTTATTCTATCTTCGTGTAATTTGGATTGAAATAAAACAGCTTTTTCATTTCAGTCAATTTGTTTTCTTCACTAGTTTGTCTTTATGGAAACGATCTTTGATATTCTCAAGCAATGACAATGAAAATCCAAACCAGGAAAATGGCTTTGATATCGACGTGATGTAATGGTTAGTAAGCTTGTCTTGCTAGATCATTTACGACTGAGTGCTCCCTACTTTCAGCCTTGTGCCACATCTGAGCTACGCTTGGAAAATCACTTTATATGATAAATTAATATACATTAAAATCAATCTATCTAGTGCGTGTGTGTAATACTTTTCACAGAACCT